ACAACATATTTTGACGGAAAACGCTTGCCTCGCCTGGAAGACTATGCGACTCCCCACCCTATGATAAAGACCTTTGAAATAAGACAGAACGTGCTTAAGGGTCCCATGAAAGCGATCGCGTTTGTTCAAAAATTTGAGCCTCACTTACGAAATTCCCGGGAGCAGACCTATTTACGTAAAGCCCTCATGGTCCCTGGTTTGATAAAATTCATCCCTGACAGTCACTTACTGGCTTGCCTGCACCAGGCTTTTAGGACATTTTTAGGCACAGGTTGGTGCAAAGCCAACTCTTGTCGGTGCATCTGGGTGCTGAACAATTGTAAACTACCCTCGGAAGAAAGATGAGCACTAAAGGCGCCAAACAGTCGCACAACCACGGTAGCACAATACATGGCACCGCTGAGCGTACCAGAGAACAGTCTCAATCAGAATGGTCTTTCACGCATAGCTATACGCTGGTACCAAATGGACAAAAGCCTTTGACTATGGAAGGGTGCTTTTGGCATGCCGGATATAATCTATTTGGTGCTATCTGTTTAATATGGCGCAGAAGTCTATGCGCACTCCATCCCCAAATGACAGTGCTCCCGCCAAATTCTCCTTGGCTAGGATCCCGGAACTAAGTTGGTAGCCTGGAGGATGTTGGAAACAGCGCGTGTTAGGAGATCAGGATGGTCGTGCCCACCATGCCAGAAGTTTATGGAACATTGTGCGTAAAAACAGATAAAAGATGCGCAAGGTGAACCTGATGCACTTTTTCATTCCATTTCATAAGTGGTGTACGAATTATTACCAAGCACGAATGTAAATGATAGAAGAGCCTTAACCATGGCGGGAAGTAGTCGATAACTGGTGCTGCAAGCATTTGCTTCACAACTGAATACTGAACATTGCCAACAGGTTGCTACTGCCCTCCAACTAATTAGATGGTTAACCAGACTGTTCAGCTGTTGGCAACGAATAACGAAAAGACAGCACTGCATGACACTATAAATGCCTTTGGATGGCGCATGCTTGGTAACATTGTCACTGTCATCTACGCATTTGCGAAGATAGTAAGCAACTTCACAGGAACAACAGTACCGATAAGCACGAGGGTTTTGGCGGATGCTCGCCAAAGGACGTGTTCACCAACGTCGGGGAAGAATGCGACGTGGAGCATGGCGCACTTCATTGAATATGATTCAGCTTTGTTTCCATACGGAGGTTAGAGGCGAATGAGCGTCGGTTAAATAAGTGGTGCAAAAACCCAACTCTTAAGTCGATTTTTTCCTGGTTCGCAATGGGGTCAATGCTCAGCATTTTTGGACAGTGGGGGGTGCCATAGCACCCAGCTTTCCCTTGCCGTTAGGTCCATGATTGAGGTTTATCAGGACTTCCACTATATCGCCAAACTATATTGCTGCATTAGTTCATAGGCAAAGGGTATGATTTCCAAGTACGTCGGACCCCACAAAAATCTGTGCCCGTAAAACGTGACCCTGAAGATGTGTGCACTGCTTAGCTCTTCTTTGGACCGCATCCAATCAGAGACGTGATCCCTTTTCCTTTCCGCAGGATACATTCTAAGAAAAAGGATTACGGTCGAAATATATCGAGGAATGAAGGCTTACATTCACATTCAGCGTCCCCACACAGCATGCCTCTGATACGACATGCATCACATGACGGGCAGGCGGGGCGCCGTTACTGCCGATACATCCGTATAGGATTGATGAGAGGAGAAAGCTCCTGTGGTTAACCGCGGCCGCAGATGCACTCACTGCAGGTCATTTGCAAAGTCACAGCAGTTTGAAGGCAATGCAAATTTTGCACGTGTTGCCATCCTGACCCAGGTGTTTCCCGCCGGGAAAGGGGATTTTTCCTCCAAGATGCAATACAAGAGTTTCAGGGAAATATCGGGGACTAGCCCAATCACGCCTCATTCCAGAGAGGTACCTGTCCCGGCAGCGCCAACAGGCAAGCGCCGCCGGTACAGTGCTGTAGTCGCACGCCTTGTCATGCGCCACATCCACTCAACCCCAAGAATATGGTATTGTAGCAAACAAACCAAAACAGTACACAGTGGATGCAGCTTTGGTCTGAAGCGTAGCAGTGGGAGCAGCAGCTCTTGTCTGGGCGAGCAGCTATAGTTCTTGTCTGACGAGCGGCGACAGTTCCTGCCTCAAGCGGCGGCGACAGCGCTTGCCTCAACCGGCGGCGACAGCTCTTGTCTGACGGGCGGCGACAGGTCTCGTCTGTCGAACAGAGGCAGGCCTTGCCTGAGGAGGCGGCGGCAGGAAATGTTTGACGAGCGAGGGCAGAGTCTGCACGACGAATCGTGGCAGCTTCTGATTGGCCGGCGATGACAGTTCCTGTTTGGCGATACTCCGGCTGACCAGCTCATTTTCGACCAGCGGCGATGGTTCGAAATACTTGATTGAAGTTCGCTGTTAAAGCGTATCAGCGATAGATTTGTAGATCTATGCCTGTCAAGCAAGCTGATTTGTCAGTGCAATATCTGACTCTCAGAAGCAAAACGAGCACTTCATTATATGTAGGGATTGCTATTGGACGCTTAGTTTCAGTTCTCGTTTAAGTTTTGGATCCTTTGTTGAAGATCCGTGTGCCATTGCAGCCTTGTACGCAGATTCTCACGCTGTGTTATTCAAACATAAAATTGTTTGGACGAGACAGTATCATTCAAAAGGGCTGTTGTTTCATCCCTCCTCCCTAACGGCCTGATGCGTTGCTTGTCCATCGTGCCTGGACATCTGCATCCTTATCGTGTGTTTAAAGCGTGCAATGCTGGTGTGAATCAAGTCTTGAAGGATTGGACGCACCAAAAAAGCTGTGCTTGGCTGAACGTACAGCCATTCGCACACCTGATTCGTGCCGCGTCATTTGTAGCGGTCTGTCCCTTCGCGGTGTGATGCTTCTCCATTCTTGCCCGCGCGTGAGCCCTAGGAGAAGGCGAGACAAAATGCGGCGTGCCTGTTCGCGTAGCGGTAAATTCCATGCCACAAGGCGACGGCTTGGTGCGGTGAAGCAGTCACTTGCAGACATGATAATTTTCATGTCGTGGTGCAAATGAGCTGATGGTGCAAACCGATGCAAGGAACCTAATGCTCCGTTTACTGCATACGATAAAAATTGCTAGGTCTTTGCTCTGATCTAACTTACGTACGCAAAAAACCGATATTTGTGCCGACATCTTCTGCCCATCGCTCAGCATGATCACAAAACTACGCAAGCAGGCCTGCAATAAGAATGACTACTGGTAGCATTTCATTGAAGATGGCCATCCGTTCAAATGCCAGTGGTACGTCATGCACCGTAAAGGCAAACCGACATTTCCCTTCCTGGTGCCGAAGCATAAATCCACGCGTCAGCCCGTGTTTACTGTCAGACGCTGACTGAAGAGGGGCGATATTCCTGAAAGCTGCAACGCCAGGACTTACTTCGCGGGTTTCCCTCAGCCTAGAGCTTGCCACTAGCACCTGTCGGAAGGTGTCAAAGTCCTGAATCTGCTCAATCAAAGCCCTATTTTTCGTTGATTAGACAGAAATAATAGCCTTATTCCTCGTAGAATAACCACGATGATGGAAAGCTAGATCAACTGATGTTTCGGCTGCATGTCTTTATCGAAATGGATATCAGTAGTGGAATTCGTTCCGTTATGGCCATGTAACTGAATTAGTAATCGGTCTGTCTTTCCATTCTTCTGTTTTTTCTACGAGGAATACGGCTATTATTCCTGTCTTATCTGCATGCATAAATGTTTCTTCCAAATGCGCAACTTCCATATTTTTCGTCGGAAATATTGGACATACCCGGAACATAAAAAACACGAGTTTTTTCTTCAGTACAGTTCCAGTACGCAATTCTTGAAATTAACGTAGTTTTCTCCTTCCGCAGCCCGTTTTTAAGAAATGACAAGAAATTTACAAGACCTGGATAGTGAGTTGTTACGTTTGAGCATGAGTTTTGACTTAACTCCTGAATATTGAGTTGCCTTGCTGGAAGCTATCCAAATCAGTCGTTGCCCTTGCGTTGAAGTGACATACCAACACAATTTAGAACAAAAGTGTTCATTCATTGCCGCACTATACTCGTGCAGGATAATCGCAGGAACTTTTCATTATCAGTGTCAATGCATCCAAAAACGGCGCAACAAAGCGATTAAAATCTCGCGTTTACATGATCAAAAATAAGATGGAAAAGGATTAGTGATCTAGAGTTCCACCTCGCAGCCTTGCATCGTTCTGTCCGAGCAGAGGATCATGCCTTTGGCCTACTCTTAATATCGGCTGGAGGCTGGAAACTCATACACACCACACTTCAGCCAACGGGTGCACAACACAAGCTCCCCATCCTGCTATACTACCGCCTGCCTCCGTTGCACCCATTTGCTAACGGGCAGGCCTTCATCCGAGCTGCACGGGCTGCTGCTCGTGCGCCCGGGCCGGCCGGCCGCCGTGTCCATGTTCTGCGAGGCTCATGGCAGGCGGCAGCGACAGCGGGGGCGGCGCCTCGGCGGCCCGCCGCGCCTGATTGGTCGAGCGGCCCAAGCGGCGCCGTGTTGCCGCTTCGTGGCCGGCTGGCAGAGGCAGCGGAGAGCGACGTTCTCGAAACTGACGCGGCGGGGCGGGCGGCGCTGCGAGTCACAGCCGGGATCATTCGGCCACGCTCGGCGGCCCGGCCTGTCAGCCGTCCAGCCGCACCAGGACGCCGCAGCTGCGCCGAGTTCGCCCACCCGAGCTCCGCCGCTGGCTCAGCACCGGGTCAGCTGGGTATCTCCCACTACCGCGACGCGTCTGAGGACTGCCTCCCGCCGTTCTCGCCAGCACTGTCCCGAGTGGCCCTATACCTTCCCTGTTCTGTCCCGAGCGGCCCTCCCCTCCCTCTCCTGCCACGAGCAGCCTGTGTGCTCCCTCTCCTGCCCCGATCGGCTTTCCACTCCCTTCCTGCCCCGAGCGGTCAGCCCCCGCCCCGCCTCACGCCGCGGCCCGGCCGCCGCCATGGACTCGTCCAAGGTGCCGATGAGCCTGGCCAGCGGCAGCTCCCTGCTGAGCCACGCCGTGCTGGGCGGCCTGTCGCCGCTGTTCCTGCGCGCCTCGGAGCGGTACCAGCGCACGCCAAAGTGCGCTCGCTGCCGCAACCACGGCATCGTGTCGGCGCTGAAGGGCCACAAGCGCTACTGCCGCTACCGCGACTGCGCCTGCTGCAAGTGCACCCTGATCGCCGAGCGCCAACGCGTTATGGCCGCCCAGGTGAGCCCCCCATCGACGACACCGCGCCCACAGGCGTGCCGCTGACGCTGCCATCTGTGCCAGAACGACTCGCCCAGGCGGCAGACAGGGCTAGAGCTGCAGACGTCGGCCAGTGATGTCCAGCGTCACCCAGTTAACGGCGCCGACCTCAGGGAAAGCTCCTGCGCCGCTCTCCGCATTGCATTCCCTGTGACACTGTCCGCCGTTCCCAGCACGTGGTTCACTCCGACGTGTGCAGTTTCTCGTGGGGTTCTCAGGGGCGCTGCTTTCAGCCCTGTTTCGGTCCGCAGCGATGTCGAATTCCGTTCTCGGTGTGTGCTGTGCTGCCGAGATGCACTGCCGGGCCAGATTATGCGACGATGCTGTGGATTTGAGCAAGCTCCGGCATGCGGCCGATCATCTGCACTCCGCGGCGGCCGGGCAGGAGTTCTGAACTTGCCACTGGTGCTCTGCCTTTGGTGGCCCGGGATAAGTGTGACTAGTTCAATCACACACATCTGCTGTTGGCTCATAAAAAAATGATAATGTGCTGTACACTACTTAAGCTGACTGTAACGGGCGACCGCAATCGACGTGAGCCGCCAAGTGTCAGTTTGAAAGGCAGGGTTGGCGCACACCTTGCACAATAATGTCTTGGTGAACGAGAGGGTGTAGGACACTCCACCAACACCATTGCCCGTTCGAGATTAACTGTTCTACTGTTACTGTAACGTATAAGTTACATTATATTATACTGTTATATTATGTAGTTATATTATACTGTTACTGTAACAGTTGCAACTGTAACGTATATAATGTATTATATTATATTGTTATATTATATAGCTATACTATATTGTAACTGTTGTAACTGTAACGTATAAGTTCGGGATTAACTGCAGAGTTCAAAGACTAACCTATAGTGTCCTATTTGCTCGTGGGGCCCAGGTGCGATTCTCGGCAAACGCAACGGCTGGTCGTGAGGCGCCAATATGACCACCGCAGTCGCTGGCACTCCTTAACAAGTTTGCGCGACGACTCGCGCGCGACGGCTTTTACCGGCTTGTCTGAATATTATCTTGTTAAGCTGATGTCCCCTCCATCGGTAAAATATATCGCAATGTGCCTTCCTAGCTAACCGTGTGACGCTTTGCCCTGCCCTGATCCCAGTTGATGGTACCATCTCTGAGAACAGCTCTGCTCTTATTGTGTTCTCACTGTGAGGTCGTTGTGCACGATTCCCAGTGAATTTTCTGTGGTTGGATGAGCAGAGGCGTCTCGACGTTACACGATCTGGCCTGTGCAAAATATCACTGAATGCTGCGCGGTTCAAAGTGGCGCAGTGCTTTCAGCTCCGTGTTGCATCGGCTGTGACGTGCCTTGCTGTGAATACAGGGCGATGCACTCAGTGTGTAGTCATGATGCCATGCTGTGTTCTCAGCACGTGTGAACTGCGATGCGTGTTGCGTTCTCGGCGAACGGTCATCGCGGCGTGGGGCCGTGTTCTCAGCACATGGCGAACTGTGGCGTCGTGTTCTGTTCGCGGTGCGCGGTTATATGGGTAATGATGCTCGGCGCCCAGTATGCGGTGCGCTGTAGCACTGTGCTTTCTCAGTGCACAACTATAGTGACGCGGTGCTCTTTTCTCAGCGCTTGGTAAACTATGGCGCTGACTTCGCTCTCAGCGCGAGCCGTGTGGGTCCGACCTGCTCTCATAGCGTGGCGTGCTAGGCTTTGTCACGTTTGTGTTATGATGATCACCTAAAATGCATAAATCTGAAATACACTGAAAAGGAAATACTGGGGTGAAATCCATGGTTTGCCGTCAGGCCTATCGATGTGGAGAAAAGTTTACTCTGGGAGTGCGTGGTGTCATCATTTTGTACCAATTCGTCATTTTACCAACGCAAATTTGGTTCCGTGAGGCCAAACATAAAATGATGAATAAATACATGGCGAGGATTCTGAAGCAGCGAGGAGTGGAATCTCACAGCTATCTTGACAGCCCTGACCACAAACTATGGGTTTCGCTACTGGTTACCCCGTTCATGCATTTCAAATGTGGCATCAAATAACAGCCGTGTTTTATACAGCTAGCGTGAAAAAGGCTGTTGTTAGGCTGCCTTCAACGTGATCTCAGCGTTGTTAGGCCGCCTCCAGCTTGTTCTCAGCATGCAGTCGTCATCTGACCAGGCACGCCCCCCACAGGTGGCGCTGCGGCGTCAGCAGGCGCAGGAGGAGAACGAGCTGCGTGAGCTGGGCGTGGTGTTCCCGGTGCCGGGGGACCTGAGCAGGTCTACCCCGCCGCCGGCCGCCACCAGCGCGGGCGAGACCAGCAGCAGCGGCGCCGACGGCAGTGGCGCACCGACCCAACAGAGCCCCGCCGGGAGCGAGGCCGACAACGGTGAGGCTGAGGCACGGCACCGACCGGCCACGCCGGCTCAAAGGCGGTGGGCCTGCCAGAAGATTGTCTTTGAGCAAAGCACGTGGAGCACGTAGCTAAAGCATGCGGCATGCTCTCCAGTTTACTCGATACATTTCTTTTCGAGTGAGTGTCCATTTTGCGCTATTTGATAATTCCGCAGGGTTTGGGCTCCACATGGACCCCGCAAGAGGCGAGTACGCGGTAGAAGTAAATCCGATATGACAGAATGTTGGTCCCTCGTCACGACAGCGCTTCAGTCCATGTCGCGGACGCAGATAAGATGCCTGGTCTAATAATTATTTACCCTGGATCCTGGTTCCTGCTGGTTCTTTCGGCAAACCAAGACCCTGGATCTAGTTCCTACTGGTTCGTAGGACAAAACAAAACACTGAACTTGGCTCCCACTGGTTCCCTCAACAAAGCAAAACCTGGATCTTGGTTTCCTCTGGTTCTTATCAAAAAACAAAACCTTGGGTTCTAGTTCTCACTGGTTATTACAAGACCATGACTCACGCTTCTCAGCCACAAAATCATTCGAGTCACACAGCGTAACCAGCCATTTCAAGGCTAGCAAGATCACACTGATAATGATAAGAATTAGATTTCAAATGTGAATGCTGTTGAAACCGGTTCATATCAAATGTAAAACGAAAGAGTGCGTGCATCCCTTTGATTTTTTCGATGGAAACCCAACAGCGGAATCAGAACACCGAAAACAGGCGGTTTGGGTCAATGCGCACCTGGCAGGCAGAACAGAGCCCCGACAGCTTACCAACCGACACTTGCATCCGACCGCTCACGCATCAGCGATGTTTTACACGGACGATTCTCACGGAAGCTCGGTCAGCTGGCTTGACACTACGCAGGAAAACTCAGAGCATCGTTCTCGCGCACATCCAGTTCAGGCGGGTACTTCAGACGCGGACGTCACGTCGCTTGGCGGCACTGAGCAAAACGGAACGCTTGACGGTTGTAAAAAGCCCTGCATACTCAAGACCAAGAGGCGCAACGCAACAAAAATAACCATAATATTACTCATATCGTTTCATCACACTGAATACAAACACATGACAAGCGCGGTGGCACGCAAACGCCTTTGCACGCTTAGAGAACAGCGAGACGTGGCCGAGGAAAAATACGCGGAAATTACACGCACAACCAAGCGTGCAGTGCAATGTTTTCACTGCCCGGGGATGACTGCAAATGTGCTCAGTGTTAGTGATGTACGAGACGAAAACAAATATGCTGCTGCCTTACCGAAAACCAAAGGCAAGTCGGGTCCTCTTTGTGAAGAGCCTCTATCTCGTTGATTTCGAATTATGTGTTGCCAATAGATGGTATGAAACGGGCCATTTTCCCCCAGTTTATTGTTATGATTTTTCAGCAACGACGAGGTCTGGATACGATTTTGACTCGCTTTCTGCATTGTTTTTACTGTTTGTAAATTTTTCGTTTCCCCGCTAATTAAATTGGTCACGTAAGTGTAGTGGGTTGCCATGTTGCGAGAAACCCAGCCCGGCAAAGCAACTTACAAAATAATTATTTGCAACTATCACCACCAAACCTTTGATAATTGGTGACTTGTTGAAGATTGCTTTGTGGTACGAATAAGCACTGGGGTAATTATCGATTAATGTTATTAATCGGTGGAGATGGAAATCCAGCTGGCTATGATTCTGTAAAAGATAAAGAAACACTAGTTCGTCAATTTTCTAACGTTGGAAAATCACGGCAAACACTCCAGACGTCGCGACGTTATGAAGTCGTGTAGTGTCCAACCGTCCAACACAACAAAAATAGCAGTCGGAGATGAAAAACTCATGCTGCTCTGGGATGGCTGGGGAGGGGGGAAGGGGGGGGGGGTATGACAGCCTTTCATTATATCGTGGGGCTCAATGTTTAACTAAGTGTATCTCAAAACACCTTCGTTACAACTGCCCAGTTGTACTGGTAAGGCTTCGGTAATACCCTCCTCCATTGCGACACGTTGCAAATAAGAAAATAGCGTACCTTTCGCGTCAAGCGTTTTTTTTAAAAATGTATTTGGTAAACCTGGGGAGAAAACTCTGCAGACATGCATGGGCACATAAGCGTGGTCTGCCTGGTCACGAGCTTTCCATACCTGCTGTCGTATTCCTTGGGTGCGTGAAGTGACCTGTATTGCCGGCTGGTCGCGTCTGCCGCCTTTAAATTAATAGTCAGCATTCATTTAAAAGTGTGCACAGTGCACATAGTATGAACAGAACCAGTGTTGCAGACAGTGCTCTCTTGCTGCATGAGTTGTGTGAAAGAAATGAATGGCAAGGCTCAGGTCCAAATATTCCCTTTTTGATGAAAGAGATGCATCACGCCATTTTTCGAGAAGATACATTAACATTGGTAGGCACTGGCGTCTTTCTCAGTTTGTGATTACTGAAGCCATTGGTCTGGGAAATCTACGAAGTTGCACATGTTTAATTACGTTAAGATAAAGGGTTGTATTGCTTACAAAATAAAAACCGCACGTAAAGCTAAGGCATAACCATAACCATTGAAAAGTATCGTAAAGTGTCATTTCAGGCAGTTGCCAACATAGGTAGTAGAGGTTCCAGCAGTCCGATGTAGGTTCAAGCAGCAGTGCTTGGGCTTGGCTGTCCCGAAGAAGTGACTGGCTCTTGTGTGAAAAGCATTAAACACGGGTTTTGCGGCTAGGAAATTGTATCAGGTTCCATGGGAAACACATAGTTCTCGCAGCTACATCTGACTCTGGCTTAGTAAGGTGGTTGCCTTTGGTTTAACTATGGTTACTGGATCTACTTGGATTTATCCTTCATGTTTCGATTAATCTTTTTGTATCTTTGATTTAACCACGGTTCCTGGATTTAACAATGTTTATTTAAGCATTTAACCACAGCGTGTACCACACATGACCAAAACATCCGAGGCGCCTCACATCAGCACCTCTCAGGCCTGGTCAAGATGGGTTGTTATCATGCAGGAATATGCGAAGATCGTATGACCCTTAATAGCATCTATCAGCGTTTATATATTCCGCAAGCAGCCGAAGTGCATTGACCTACATCGCGAGTACTTGCACGGCTTGTGTGAAAACTGTTGTGGCTTGCCTCCGCCTGTCAGAAACGCCTAGATGAAAAACGTCGTCCATACCTGCTCTTCCGACGCCAGCTGACCCCGGTGATGTACATGACTGATGAAGCTAACGTCAAAAGAAGTTTGGGCTGGACTGTGGAAAGATATGGTCGTGTTATATTGCTGTTTACTGACCAACCAAGACCAATTCGTGCATATTTGATTTAGTATTACTTTCTCTGAATCACGTTGGGAAGAGCGCTATTCAGCACCATAAAAACAATGAGCGCCCTAGGTCACGATACCCGCACTAAGACGTTACGCCTGTGAGAGGGAGACATCGCGTATGGTTACACACGTGTTATTTACAAATATACAACAAATTTAAGTTTTCATTCGATGCGCATTACATTATTGAACCCGAAATGTTTCAATACGTTGCAGATCGCATATTTCATCACATAAGTAAATATTTGGAGCTTCGGCCGGAATGCTCAAAACTGATCCGAATCTGACCTAAATATGTCTCCTGCGAGAATCAACTTCACCCATGCTCGACCAAATTTGAGATGGTTCCGCACTTCATTCCAATACTGGCCAGTGTCGGCACAGGTGTGCTCAATGATGCCGAGACGAGTATTTTACTCGTCCGCCATCAGCAACTCTCAAAATGATCTTGCCCCATGGTTAACGGCTAACTGGATGCAATATTTGACCTTATCGTTTGTAATTCAGGGCCAGTGTTTTAGCGCTAGTATCCATCAGCATTTATCGCACGTTTCGTTGCCGGAGCGCCGCGATAGCAAAGGCCGTCTGTATCGGGACCTGTCTCACAGCAGGTACCAGGCTCTCCGTAACCAATCATTGACAACCTGATTTTACAAAGAGCATATTCAGATCATACCGCGTAAGCGCATCAGATAAAACTGAGTTAGTTTCACTCATATGCTCGTCTGCACATGCAGGTCTTCCAATCCCCAGGCAGCTTTTCTACGACGGCGTGTGACCTCTTAGCGATGGAATCCGTTCTTATGCATAACCGTTCGCCGTCCCTTTTCTGGCTTTCTGGCTTTTCTGGCCCCGAGGTTTCTGAAAATTTCAGTTTCTGCGCCTTAAGCTGGAAAATTGTCACTTCATTCTAGGGTGCACATAAAGCGACCAAGAATTACAAAAATAGTGAAATTACGAGGACAAACCACACCATGCACGTGCCTTGTAAATACATTTACCATTTGGTGCTGATGCTGCAGCTTCTTGAGCATGTTGCAACGACTTAGAGACCTTCGAAGGTCAACAAGGTATTTACCCCAGTTTTTCGTGCCGTTTTTAAATGTCGGCCGAATCTGGAAGCCTACGTTTTGTTTTAATGGGGGATAACTGGGCACCCTCGGATAGACGGCAAGTGAAACAACCACACTGACTTCTGTCCGGTTGCTCTATCTCAGTAATGTGACAAATGTCTCGTACGGCGGAGGAAAAAGGGCAGCCAGCCGCCAGGTGCTGCCGTCGCCGACTGGCAGCGTCAGTGTCCCCCGGGGCGCGCCGGCCGCTAACGCTGCGGTCATCGGCGCCTTTTTAGCCGTCTGGCGGACCGGCGCGAATGCCAGTCGTGCTCCCATATCGCTTTGTGCCGGCCGTGCGCCTTACGACTGTTCCCGCCAAAAATCCAATATGAATTCCTGGGTGGGCCGCGCCATTCCACCGTTACTTTCGGTCTTCATACCGGCGTCGGGAATTAATTTGAAATGTGATAACAATAGACACAATAGAGCAGGTTATGGCCGAGGAGATAGTGATGGGCGTCATCGGGACGCGCGGCACGCGGC